ATTAATACCCCTTACATTTTTGTGCTCAACGCTTTTTCCAGTTCCGTGGAGCAATGGGCGAGAAGATCAAGAAAGCCATGTTGGAGTACGGTGCCGTCAGCACAGCCTGGAGAGAGACGAACCCCTGGACGTACGGCGGATATGACGAGTTCTGCAGCAAATACCCAGCCCCTGGAGCACAGACGTGTAATCCGTGATTTATGAATATTTATTACCTCATCCTGAGACCTAAACAATATATGGATAAATAAACTACACTTAATTAGTCCCCTCAGAAGAAATTTGTGTTACAATGGCAAACATGTATGCATAAATGCATAATTCAACACACAAATACAGACACAAAGAATATCAAATACACAATATTGCAGCAATGGGGAATAATTTATAGGTATGCCATTGTTGGTTGCCATTGTGCTGCGCCCTCGTTTTCTAGCTAAGGTTATCGTGCCTTGCTCAAGGACACACCCCAGTCACCACACATCCAAACTCTGTGTTAGCAACACTTTCTCGACAATAATTTTGAGTCTGACTCACGACTCAACCTGTCACTGGAGCCCCTGAAATAGTAGAATGTAGGATGTAAACAGTATAATAAGTATACGCTTTTGAATATTTGGTAGAGCCACCAACTGAATTTAAGCAGTACATGTATGAGCGTACTGAATATTTCTAATGAATGGGAATGATAGATAATACTATTATAATTCTTTTTATGAGAACAGTTTTGAAATGCTTCCTTTAAGATGAGCTTCTGCTTGTAATAAAAATGAAAATAAATGACAGTAAGATGCCTTCACTGTATGTAAAATTTTGCTTTGTAACTGGAGTTGATCAAATTTCCTGTAAATTATTCTTGACGATGAAATGTTTCAAATTCTCCTTTCAAACAAAGCTATCATGTTGAGAGATACTTCAGCAATCCACACTTTGTTCTAGTTTTTAATCGACATGTTGTGTCTATGCCTTGAGAGGACTGAACATAATACTGTAGTGAGGAGGGGAGATAATCTGTGATAAAAACAAGAGCTTTCTTAAAGAGTTTGAGTTAAATAAAACCGGTGTGCGCGATCTCGAGGGGGTGTGGGTGGGGGTAAGAGGAAGCTGCGCAAGCAGAAGGTGAAAACATTGACAACGAGCCACTTAAGAGCAGCCATCGTTTTTCTGTCTCAGAATAATTTGTATATTTTCTTATTGCATTGTCTGTCTAGTCTATACTACATGTCCCCATTTCAATGCAGTTGTCTGTTCGTGAGTAGACTGTCTGTGAAGAATATTACAATAAATAGCATTATGTCTTTATACTCACCGCATACTTTATTGCTTTCCTTTAAACAAAACAAAGAATTAGACCAGTATTCTTGTCAATACTGTTACTGTTATAGTGCCAAATTTTTTGTTATAGTCTTGATTTCTTTAGTTTCGTCAACGCTGTCTGTTTAATTGTCTTATATCGCCATCTTACCTATCGATGTTGTCGTCATTTCTGTTATCTACTTTTCATTCATCATTCGTGCCGGGTATATAATTCAAAGCAGAAGCTATACTAAGAAAAGATTAAAAGAACATCCCGCATCTCCTTTGTGTATACCATATGAAATCTGAATCAGTAGTGTGGAGAAACAGAAAATGAAATCACTTTGAAAGGAACACATTTTATTTATGTTCGTCAATGATTAAGATTTACGCTCTTGTGCCACGTACCTTCGTTTTTCGTACCGGTGGCATGTACTCTCAACACTGATGCCAGAACGGCTCGATCATGTACCAAAAAGCTGTGTAATTTCCGTTAGAATTATCCTGAGGGATTATGAACGGATCGCACTCAAAACCTGCGGATTACAAGGTTGATGCCTAAAACACGACACGGTTCCCAAAAGAGCTCCTGTTATAAAACATTAATGTTCCTAAAAATAAATCAAACGAGGCCACCACGTGAACACTATATCATCACCCTGCATGTTTACCTTGAAAACAACGTCTTGGGAATCGAAGAACAACCCCCAAGCCCCTCCAATAAAACAAACTAACAAGAAGGGAAAAAAAATCAAGTATTACCCCCCCCCCCCCCCCCTCACGCACACACACTTTCCAAGAAAAGCTTCGGTATCAGATCTACAGTGAACATGGGTTCTTTGACCTTCAAAAAAATCCCGAGGCGATAAAGAGAAGAGATGAGATCTCTCGCTAACTTCCGGTGGGAGTTTCCGTTCTTGCACTCTGTTACCCTGACAGAGATGTGCTTTTAAGTAGCCTAGGGCCCTCACACGTTCTTCTAGAAATAGAACCAAAGAGTTCATCTATCTTGTATCAGAACACCCACAACATTCCACTTTCTTATATTCGAGGATAACAACACATTTCCTCTTCTGCTTGGCACTCCTTTATTCTTTTGGGCTCAAAACGGGCAGTCAGGTTACTGGAAATGTTTTGAACTCTGCTAGGGATTTTGGAGAAGACTGAGGCCAACTATTTGCACTCCTGACAGTACACCCCCCCC